ATAAATGTTTTTTTTCCCATCTATGGAACTCCTTCCCTGATAACAATAAAATTCAAAAATTCACTTTGTAATGTCAATCGACATCCGATTTTTTGATTAATTGTTTAAATTTCCTTGAAGTCTATATCCTTTCCTCAAACATGATAATTTATTCTTGTTCTCAATCCTCTGTAACCAACCCCTAAAAAATTTATTGAATAAAATGTTCCACCTTGCTAAAAAATGAATTAAAATATCATACTAATTAACCCATAGATGTCAAGGAAAAATAATAATAAAACCTTTATTTCAATTTCCAGCTAATGTAAAATATTTATATAAACCATTAGAAAATTACATCACCTGCAAAAAAGGTAAATATGGTTTTTTAATGGTCATCTATCTAGAGTAATTAAAAAATATTATGATGCAAACATTTTAACTTTGGTTATTGTACAAGAAACATTTTTGGAATTATAAATGAAAAGAAATATATTTATCAATATTAAATATACTTATACCATTTAATATATATATATGATAACCATTTAAATATATATATATATCAGGTCATCCCATAAGTTCTGTCTGAATTTTGAATAAAGAAAACAAGTGACCAAATGTTACATTTAATTACAGATTCAATCAACAATGTATTTTCCCTGATTATCTATGACTTCCTTCCATCTATTAACAAACTTACTAATTCCATTACTGTAAAATTCTTTTTGGCTTTGATTTGAAGAACTCACAAATGTCAGTTTTAACCTCTTCCTGTGTTACAAAAGCTGTTTCTTCCAAATGATTCTGTAAGCTATGAAACAAATGGTAGTCTGAAGGAGCAAGATCGGGAGAATAAGGTGGATGAGGAATTTTCTCCCAACCAAGTTCTTTGATCTTTTGTGACGTGATTCTTCTTGTGTGGGGTGCGCATTGTCCTGATGAAACATCACCTCTTTTCGATTCACTAGAGCAGGTCTTTTTTCCCTCAAAGCTTGGTTCAAACGCTCTAATTGCTGACAGTATATTTGAGCATTAATTGTTGCATTAGGTGGTAAGAATTCAAAGTGGATTATTTCTTGGCGATCCCACCAGATTGAAAGAAGAACCTTTTTGCCCATGAAGTTCCCTTCTCGGCTGTGGCTGGGGTCCTTCCCTTTACCAAGCCACTGTCTACGACGCTTAACATTTTGATAAAAGATCCATTTTTCGTCGCCAGTCACAAGTCTATCCAAAAAAGGTGAAACAAGTTGGCGAGAATGGAGAGAAGAGCAGACGTCAACTCGGGATTTGAGGTTGTTTTCAGACAATTCATGAGGCACCCATTTTTCATGTTTAGGAACTTTTCCAAGTTGTTGAAGATGACGATGAACAGTTGTATGGTTTGAACTGAGAACCACTGCCAATTCCTCAACTGATAAAGCAGGATTTTCTTCAAGGGCTGCTTCAAGAAGCTTTTCATCAAACTCAACTGGACGTCCGGTTCGATCTTCATCTTCAAGGGTGAAATCTCCACCTCTGAATTTTGCAAACCATCTTCTGCAAGTTCTTTCATTCACACATTCCTCTCCATAAACTGAGTGAATGTTTTCTAGCCGCTTCGGCTGCTGAGTTTCCTTTCTTGAACTCATAAAGCATTATGTGCCTCAAATGATTCTTGGGTACTTCCATGTTAGCAGGGTTTTAATCAAACAAAATTTAATTTTATTGTTCTCTGAAATAAAATTTGATCAGTTTAAATGCATCTAAACATAAAAAATAATGTTCAGCTCCATTAGACATTATAAATACTCTTTAAATTTTGTTCATTTTAACAAAAAGTATTGTTATTAAGTAACAACCTGATCCCCAAAGAATTACCACATAGTAATACAGGACGTTTCAAAAAATTTGATATCATTTCGCAATCTAATAACTTTGTTAGATCTCCTTCAAATGACTTCAAATTTTAATAGCATCTTTATATTTAATGTTTGTTTTATGTTTTTATTATTTGTATTTTTATGTTCTTTAATCTTTTTTCTTTACAGGTATAAAATGCCGTGTGTCTCAGGAAAAAGATATTGAACATTTGTGAAATCGTTCACATAATCCACATGCTTTTGAATTTCTCATTCAGATTTGGAAGAATAAATCTTATGATCTTCAACATTAATACTTTTTAATTTCATTTGCCTTAATCATATACTTTCTGTGATATTTACATCTCAAAGGATATCAAATTTTTTTAAACACCCTGTATAATAGTTAGAAAAATATATTTAAAGACTCACAGGTGAAAACCTTTGATTAAGATTAAGGGCTCAAGATAATATTCCCTATTTTTGATAGAATGTATATTTTTTTATTTATTTATTTGTGATTAGTGGCATATCAATTTCTTATGGGTCATTTAATTCATAAATTTAATTTTCTTGGGAGCATTACTGATTTCTTTTACAAAAACGTATTGTTGCTAATTCCCCCCCCCCTTACAGAAATTTATTGCTGCTCATTTTTTTTTTTTTTTTACCATAACGTAGTATTGCTTGTATTTTTATTATAAAAGTTTTTATACTTTCATAGTGTTTTCATCCCAGTTTTTTTTTTTTTTTTTTTTTTTTAACTATTTGTCCATAACTGGTACCTTAACAGGTGATACCACCCCCGGTCAATGTGGACCTGGGGACAACAGCAATTAAGAGATGGTTCAACACTGCTGCTGGATGTAGTTTATCACCATCCCCAAGATGAAATAGCATGTGTAAAATTGCATAAATATAAGATTCTACTGGGCATAAAATGTGTGTGTGTGTGGGGGGGGTCGGTTTTCTATTGTTATTCAATAATAAACTGATCTTCCAATTTATTACATCAGCACAAACCAAGTGGTTTAAGCACCTCATTGTAATAAATTCTAAGATCAACCTCAATTGATGTGGATTAAAAGGAGGGACAAAAAAAAAGAGAAACATGCAGATAATCAGTATATTATCATTATCACTGTACCAAATTATTTCAGAACATAGAAAAAAGAGAATATATAAAATACAAAAAGCCTTCTATAATGAATTTCTCATTCAGAAAGTGTTTTCAATTAAAAAAAAGAAAAAAAAAAGAAGCAAATTTTTGCTTTTTCTTAATACTTATATTGTTTTGTTTAGCAATTGCATTAAAAAGAATTTTCATAGTGTAAGTAAATGCTTTTTTAAGTTGCATAACTTTTTAAAAGAATTTTAAAATCTATTCCTTGATCAATTCAATTTGAAGAGTGTGTTATATAGTGAAATAATATATTTAAACTATTATGTGTAGTAACAATAATAAAAGTGCTTAATAGTGTGCAAAAAAAAAAAAAAAAAAAAAAAAATCCGATAGGTAGGACATTTACTGCAACTATTTCACTTTCTAGAAAGAGCGATCGTGGAAAATATTTTATCTTTATTTCATATTTCCTTAAACATCAAGTGTTGGAACTAAAGTACTGGATTTTGGGAGCTCTGATCCCTTTTTTCCACCCCCCATCAATGATCCATCATTAGAAAAACAAAGCAAAAAACAGGAAATAAAATAAAAATAAGTGAATAACGAAGGGAAAAGGTTTCGCTTTCATGTCTGTCACTTTAAATATAAAAATTTTTTATGCTTTTTTGATTTAAATTAAAAAGCATTTAATTAATTTTTAGTTTTCGTAATGATCGCTTCTTGTTAAAATAAGAAACGATAGCAATAATTAAGGAATTCTCTCCATCTTCAGACTTCTTCACATAAAAAAGTGAAAACAAAAAAACTGAAAGAGTTTATATAATAATCGCTCTTCTGCATAACACTAAAAAATTACCTTCCTTTTCAATTTTTTTTTAATCTCATATTCTTTTGCTTTCCTTTAAATTTGGAATAAAGAAATAAAAAAGAACGAGTAAATAAACTAAACAAAAAAAAAAGTATAAGTACCTGAATGAAATGCAATTGTAATTTCAAGTAGTTAAAATTACTAATTACGCTTTTAAAAAAATATGATGAACTGATATTTATTTTGAATTGTTTTCCCCCCAAAAATCTGAATTTAAGTAGCGAAGGCGGGCTCAGAGGGTTAAAAAAAAAAAAATAAATAAAAAAAATAATAGGGGTTTCCATCCTTTGGAGCGTTACTTTAAAATTTATTAACTAGTTACTACTAACTAGTAGAATAAGAAAATTACCGGTGAGTATTTTTTTTTTCATCGTTAATTTAAAATTAAAAAGATTAAAGAAAAAAAGAAGCAAAACAAAAAAATTGATTTACCGTACATTTTTGAGTAACATACAAGCACACCACCAAAATAATTTTGTTTTTAATTAAAACGTAATTAATTTATAATTATGAATGAAATAACAGTAACACCCATCCACTTATAAAAAGGATAGAAAGAGAAAGAAGAAACAGGTGAAAATTCAAAGGTAAAAAATAAAAAAAATATACCTAAAGAAAAAAAAAATAGCAATTTAAAATGTTCTTTTTTAAACGGGGTGCTTAACAACGCATCATTATTACAACAAAATTAAAATACCAAAATAAGGTCTAATTTATTACCATATCAGAAAATTAACAAATTATCATTTAAACATTTTTAAAGTTTTTTTAACACCTGACTTTAAAAAAAAAAAAAGTTTACTTAAATAATAATGAAAAATTCGGGAAAACCCAGAATCCATCATTTGACATTCAAATATACAGAATTCGACTTTCAGGTATTAACAGGTGATTAGATTGGACTAAATTAAATTTATTTCAATTATTAAAATAAATAAAGATCAACGTCCCTGCATTTTTAAATGTTGGTGGGGGAGGTTGAAAGAAGGAAGTCAGGGAAATTCACTTGACCTCTGAAAGGTTATGTAATTGAATCAAATGAACGAAGGGTCGGGAGAAAAATAAGATATTTTATATATTAAATTGACAACTTTCATTTAGGATTGAAGGCCTGAAAGGCATGTAAGGCTTATATAGGTTTAATACTTTTCATGAAAAGAGAAAAAAATAAACTAAATTATTTTCTTACAGTACAATGTCCTCTGACCGTTTCGTTGAATTTTTTCGTGTCTAAATGAGTCACGTAGGAAGTTACCCTCAACTGGGCCCATTTTATCAATTTCAGGTTTAAAGTTCGAACCTGAACAGGCATTTTCGTATTTGGTTTATATAATGTAGTCCCTGCGTTTTCTAGAGCGAATTCAGGACCAGATACCAACAGAGATAAAACCTAGCATACCTTCGCCAAGTCGTGTTTTTAGTGCCATTAAAAACGAAAGACTCAAGCGGAAGTCAGCGGCGAGGCATGCGCGCTTATGTTTCAAACCGGAAGTGACCTCCACGTGTATTCAATGCATGGAGTTGTTATATGAATATGCCGCGTTTTCTTTTATGATTATATTTTCTCTCTAATTTATTCATTATTCTTATATATTGTTTAATAAAGATTAATGTAAAAGGGAGAAAGAGTTTTTCATTCTTTCGCACACTGGATTTTCGACCATCAGTTCATCTATGAAGTTTTGTTTCTCTCACCGGAACTGTTCCAGTACATCAGTGCCTCTCATACAGCAACAGTTGCTCGGGAAAACAAAGAAACAAAAAAAAGTTTATAGCTAATGTAAGGATGGTCACATTACGAGTGACTGACAAGTCGTTAGGCAAAAACGATAACCGACATGTCTTGTGGATTATTACTGATGATCCTTACTACGTGCCTCGCACTTTTATCGAAATTTAAACTAAGCTTGCTAAATAACAACGAGCGAATCCTTGGCACCGGGTGATGGGTAGTGAGCTGGTTTGTTTATACATTCTGTGTAGTGCCCCATATGAAACTAGGTTTAAATTAGCGAGTGACAATGCATGTCGACGTTGGGTAATGATTAACGAGGCTAGTCTGGTTGACCACGAATAGAGTTCGATACTCCGTGCTCCATACATGTCTCCCTGTGATTAAGCCTAGTAGATAACAACTAACGTGTGAAAAAGGGTCTCGCCATCGGGTAATGGTTAACGAGCTGTTTGACTGATACTACTGAGTAAGTTCAATCCTCAATGGGTGCCTCATACACGTGGCCCTGTACCAGACTAAGTAAAATAATGACTAACGTGTGAAAAGGGGGGTCTCATAATCGAGTAATGGTTAACGAGCTGTTTGGCTACTAAGTAATAAGCTCGATACTCACTCCGTGCCTCATACATGTGGCCCTTGTTGCGGGTCGGTTAATGCGCTTCCCAGCTTGTCTCGGACGTTAATAACATTGGTGTTTGAGTTGAGGAATAACCACGTGTCTCCTGAAAATACCCACAACAAATGGCGAACTCGGGACGTGAGTCTGTTGGGGATGTGCAGAATATTTTGAAGATGTTAGTGTGCTCGTGATATTTGTAGTTTTTGTATGTCCTTTTTTATGTCTTGTGTATCTGTGTTACAGTCTTTTTAGGAAATTGTAATTAGTATTTAGAATGTCGGTATTATGTTTTTAGAAATGAGTCATTACGAAGTAGTCTACCTTTGACTGCAAATGTGGAGTTCGTTCGATGATGTTATTTACTTAGAATAGTAGTGAGTGTTAATTCCCTTTAGATAAGTAAAGTTGTTCGGATAGAAGTTTCGTGTGTTCACAGAGTGTTCTTCGATTTGGGCTTGCAAGTGAGTCAGTAATGATTTAGTTTGCGCGTTGTTTGCGAGGCAAGATTGCAGTTGCAAGCGACGTGGATTATATTAGCATATCTCTGTGCTCGTTCGACTGACTGATTTATCGTAGATGGTCAAAGAGAATGTATAGTTTGAGATTCTTGAATGACGAAGAAGTTCGTAGAAGATATTGAACGGGAAAGATTTGTCGTCTCGATTAGCGAGACGGTAATTAGTAGTCGTCACATTTTTTAAGCTTGAATAAGCAGTCGAAAAATGGTCTGCTTCTGAGTGGCCACACGTGCTTTGGGTTCTTTTTAAGAGGTCATAATCGCGTGGGTGGATCCAGAGCGATTTTGCGCCAAAACTTCGAAGTGCACGTGCGGGCGACCTGATTGGTAGAAGTGAACCAATCAGAGGGCTAGATTTACGAATGAAAGTTGGAATAGTGCATTACTCGAAGAAGGTAAGATTGGGCTAATAGACGAGCCCAATAAGTTCACGTAAAAAATGTAAAAAAAACACAAAAAACGACAAGAACCAATATATATTTGTACAAGCAAATGATAATGTATTAACAACAAAGGTATACAAGCGACAAGGACAATAATGTGTGTAACAAATGAATGTGAAAACCTTAATGACTGTGTGTGTGTGTGTGTGTGTTGTTCATGCGTTTCCCAACAGGGAACGCGTTCTTGGCGAAAGATTTACATGTTGATTGTTCACGAATAAGCGGGTAAGGTGAGAAGTGAATAAGAAAAATATCGCAGAGTATTTATAGTTCTGAAAGCGTCCCGTAGGAGCAGTTTCGAAAATTAGGAGGGGCTAACCCGACACCTTTTAACAGACAAAGCTAAGCCTAGCAAATAATAACTAATGGGTGAAAAAGGTATCTCACCATCTGGTAATGGTTAATGAGCTGTTTGACTATTACTACTGCGTAATAAGTTTGATACTCACTCCGTACCTCATACATACAGGTAATGGTTAAAGAGCTGTTCTGTTTGACCATTACTACTGAGTAATAAGTTCAATTCTCATTGAGTACTCCATACGTGTGTCTCTATGCTAAACTTAAGCTAAGCTTAGTAAATGAAATAATAATTAGTCAGTGACAATTTTCCCTCGTACTGTAGTATATTGTTGCTGGGCTCAAATCAAATGAGGCGACGAACACACACACACACACACATATATATAACCTTATTGTTCGAGTTGCGGCGAATGGGTAGAGTGAGGGAGAATCACAGAGATTGTGCACACAAGAATTGACGGCGACAAACGGTGAACCTCTATCCAGCCACTCTGTCCAGATCAAGAATCGGAGGGGTTAAATAACATTTGGACACTTACGCAACTTCACGTAGCTACGCCTTCTTCCGGTATGTCGCTTACGAAACTTCGTGTGGCCATGCCTCTTCCGCTCAGGACACCCGTGCGCCCTGTTTATTCTAGGCTCAGGATACCCGTGTGCCCTGTTTATTTTAGCCACCGGATGCATTTCCAGTTTATGCTATCACCAGTTCCGATTTCCGCTAACAGACTGATGAAGCGGAAGTAAGACCAAAGGTCTTTCCTCAACCAATATCCAACAGTACATGTTACTGTGAGTGGGTAAGTAGATGTTTATTACTTGTGCTTCATTTAAAATGTTGTCACTGATAGTGTGATATTATAGAGGTTCGAGGTGTAGGGTATCAGTTACAGATGAGTTGTTTTTCTTACGACAATGTCAATTACCATCATAACGAGTGTATGGCTGCAAGACCTTTCCTAACAAATAAGGATTAAAATTTCAACAGCGTGTATTGTATGGGAAAATTAGCGATTCCACATATGAGTCGTGACAGGTGAACAAAAGACAAGACAATTGGACAGTTTTAAAAGCATACTTTATATAATACATTATAGAACCAGAATGAGAAGAGGGAATTGCTAAACATATTCCTTTAGCAGTTAATGTCATGGCATTAGAGACGAAGTCCAAATACATGTATGTTTGAAATTGAAACATTTATCTGAAGTTGAACATATCACTTTTTCTGATGGCTGCTTGTTGATGTATTATTCAGGTTTGCTCGTGACCAGCATCGCCTGTTCTCTGGAGTAGGCTAAAACACGTCCATTCACTCCGTGGTCTTCATGGCCTCTCGCTTTGGCTCCTAAATTTGGGTCTTACCCATTATTACCAGATAAATAGACTCATCTCCCTATCAAGGGGTTTTATCAACCAAGAGGAGATAACCTATATTTTTCATAATTGATCAAATTTCAGAATATAGCTGTGTGAAGGGGTGGAAATTTTTTTTGATATGTTGTTCTTTAGTTGCCGTTGGTAAGGGCCGTGATTAGGAGTAAGGGTGTTGGTAAGGCTGGGAGTTGACCGATATTTTTGGTTGTTTGGCTGAGGTCACGATTGATGTTAGGGCATAGGCCTGTAGTGGATTAGTGAGGCCAAGTGACCGTTGTTGGCAGGGCTGACGCCTTTCATTAGAGTTGAAATCGCCACCTGTGATGTGTTTGATAGGCTGGTGGTCGTGTGATGAGGCCGAACTGTGCGTTGGTGACGGTAGTGCTCACGAAGTGTGTGTGTGGGGGGGATGCGGAGTGGATAGTGAAGCTTGAATTGGAATTTGGTCGGATGGGAGATCGGCGAAACGTAGTCACGGTGGTGACGACCAGGGAGGCCTGGAGTGGATAATGAAGTCACGAAACTGATTTTGACGATACAGAGGGTGCGAGCGTGAAGTCGCGTGAAGTCATAAATTTAACTTTGCTTATACAAGGGTGCGTTGCAGGTTGGTAGCGTTGGATTCTGGTCGAATGGGAGATCAAACGGAGACGGGCTCGCAATTGTATCGACAAGAGAAGACTGGAATCGACAGGGAAGACGTTGAGGTGTTACAAATCACGGTGGTGGCGTTAAGAGCCCGCTGGTGTCGAAGCTGGCCTGTCGGCCGTAATCTTCTTGTAAAGCGTCAATGAGGTCAGGGTGATGACGATGACAGCGCGCCGGTGTGGGCAGGTGGCCTCTCGGTCTGTTACTCTGTCAGTCGTTTACGAGGAGCTTTCTTTCAATCAAATCTGGTGACTCAAGGGTCATTTTTTTTTTCGCTGGCAAAGTTCATGATTGGCTATTGTATTTTATTGCGGGGATTTTTGAATCGGATGTGATGCTCGGAGCCCCTGCGCAGAAAACGACTTTTTTATTTTGTGTTTCGCTTTCTTAGCGTTCACACCCAGCCGACATCAGAAAGAGATTTAACTGCAGCGGAGCATAGCATCACATATCGTTATAATTGATTTGGATGTATATTGGCTATGTGTAATGTTTAAAAGAAGATACACAGAATGTTGATAAGTACAAAATAAATCTTTATATACACAATATAATAAGGCAGAAGGATAAGGTGAAAATTGAAGTTTGAAGTGCAAAAGCCCGTGAGAAAAGTAAATAAAACCAGTAAATAAAATAATAAGAAAGAAAAAAATCTCCCTCCCCCATGACG